ACGCTGCCTCTGCTGGCCACCTGCCTGGGGCCCGGGAGGCGGCCCACGCCAGAGCTGCACCTACAGATGGGAAACCGCCCAGAGAGGCCAAGCGAGAGCCTGAACCACGATCCGGGCACCCGGATTTGGGTTTTGCTCTAGCGTTTTCTTCTTGTTCAGTCCCCAGACGGCTCCACTAGAAGGAGCATGGTCCTCACAGCCCCAGCCCGTCATTTCCCAGAGGGGAGACGGAGGCTGGGTGGGTCCGAGGTCACCCAGGTAGGTGGGGTGGGAAGAGCAAGTGTGTCTGTCAATCCATTCACCACTCAGCTGTTCATCTCATGGACGTGCAGAGCATGCAGGGACCTGGGATTATCCAGTGGGTGAGTGACCGCGTGTCCGCTGGGCCGAGCAAGCACAGCACTGGACATGGCAGGACCTTAAGGTGGGCATGAGGTAGGACAGGAGAGACAAGAAGGGGCGGGAAGGAGACACACGGGAAGGACCAGAGAGTAGGATTTTAACTCAGAAGTTCTGCCGTGTTTTCAGGGCCGGCCACCCCTGAGCCTGTACCCCTTCCAGGCCTCTCACTCCCAAATTCCTGAGAAATATGTAGCTCTACCACGCACTGTTAATGAACACCCAGTGAGCTGATTAGGCAGAGAGAACTGTCCAGCACCATCTGTGGCTCGGACGATGGAGACTGCGTCAGCCCAAGGATGCTCCGCTGACCAGGCCACCAGAACCCGTCTTGAGATCACAGGCTGATGTCACTCCCACGCAGCTGTGTATACCTTCTCCTCCCCAGGTCTGAAGAGGAGAGCCCGGCCCCCCACAGCGTGCCTCCCCTCTGGAGCCGGCCGCGTCCCCTGAGATGTAGGTCTGCCTTCCTGGGCCAACCTCTGTCAGGGCCTCTGACTGGCGTGTGCTGAAATTCTTTTCTGTCAAGTATCCAGGAGGCACGCTGGCCCTCAGTGGGTTTCTCCTTCCCTCTGGCAACTCCTGGACCCTCCTTTGGAGACACTTGTCCTCCTGAGACGGGCAGACCCTGGATCCTGACCCCACAGAGTGGAGCGGGAAAGACAGCCTACAACCTGGTGGGGGCAGCTGCTGGACTCGACTGCTGTCTCTGAGCCCAGGGGACGGACCTGGTGGAGGTCCAGGCTTGTGTGCTGGAAGCAGCTCGGCGACATCACTGAGCTCCTAGCTCCTGCGCACGTCCATGGAGACTGCTCGTACCTGGATCTTCTGGCCCAGCCTGGGTCCACTGTCCCTACCCTTGGCTGGGTTTCTGGGAACGAGGAGGGCACTCTGTGTGTTTCCCTGCCCTCCTTTCCTCCGAGGACTCCACAGGGGCCTAAGGGAAGGTCACAGCACCTGGTCAGAGCCAGC